GTACGCACTTCAACTTTTCCTTTCTTTTTGAAATAAAAAAATGATAAACTTATTATTAAACTAGTCTTGGCGGAATGCGCGACTAGTTCGTAACTCGTATCGTTATGTTATGTCCGTGTTTGAGAAGTTCTGCCTCATTTGAATATTATTTTAAAAATCTATTTTTTTAATTGTGTATTATTAGTTTAACGGTTATATAAGATACAAAGTTGCCCACAAATATTCATATTTCATTGTTAAATTTGCTTGTACATTGCTTTGCTAGCGTTCAACATACATAATCCTACTATATATTATATATATAAATATATATAAATATATATATATATATACATTAGTATAGTTTTTTGTGCAAAAATAAATAAATAAGAAGAAAGAAAGCCCTAATCACATAACAAAACCATTCTTCAATAGCAACCATTGTGTTCTAATTTTGAATCTAGAACCCCACCAGAAAGACCTGATTTTTTCTAAATTGAGTGGTTGGACAAAAGTGTCAGCATTTTATTACATTCCACTATTGCAGAAAGCGGAGATGTAAAAGAATATGCTAAACCTAGACCTTTTCTACTCTCTTTATGTGTTTCTTGGAGACCTTTGATGCAGTGCTCTATTGTAATGTTTCAACAAGGTCTCCGTCTATAAGAAAAATCTGGTTGAATTTTCCTCGGTTTGATGGTTACTTGTGGCAAAATTACATGCTCAATTTGCTCTGCAACTTTATCAGAGGCGGCTAACTTTGAGGTTCAGTGCTCGGTAAAGATCTGGTTCTTGGCCTATTCGGGAATAAAACTGGGGCAAGAAGTATCATTTTTATGGCGGATTTAAACTGTATGTATTATCTTTTCATTGCTCCCGACGACGTTTGAACCCTGAAACCGAAATAAGATGCAAGTGATCCTTAGGTTTATTCGCAAAGTAATTGTCGATGCCTGGAATTGTGTAATGAAGCAGTGAGGTTTTTCGGGTTGGTATGGGGCAAGTAATAAATTGATTCTGTGAAAAGGATTTTATTTCAGCCTAAGAAAACAAAAAAAGAAAAAAGGAAAGAAAGAAAAGCTCAGCTCTATCAGCTCTATCATTGTAGCTAAACTGTCAGTTGACTACATAAATGAAGGCAAAACAGTAAAAGGGCACACCGAGAGACCTTTGTATGGTGAGACAAAATTAAGAGAAAAGCAGAAATAATATGAAGCAGTATTTGAGCGATTCGCAGAATCCTCATAAACTTACTCGTGTTCATGATGAGTATGATGAAGAAGCTCCATGGGCTTCCAAATTATGTGATGCCTGTCAAAAACCACTACACAGACAAACTGGGGAACCCAATTTCAGTATTGAGGGACGCCAATTCTTCCTTCATAAAAGATGTGCAGAGATACCAAGGGAGATTACGGAGCATCCCCTGCATCCTAACCATAAACTAACACTTGTAGCTAAGCCACCTTATTTCGGGGGTGAAAAACTACAACGTTGTCGCGGATGTCGTAAAGTCCTTGAAAATATCAGGTATCACTGTCCCTATTGTGAATTCGGTTTTTACATCTCTTTCGCTTTTACGGATACCAGATTGGATCACCCCTGTCGTCCTGAACACCCAATGACACTTCTGCAAAGGCCTTCCGTCTTCACCTTTGATGCTTGATGGGAAGGAGGACATGAACAGGAATCATATTTTTGTGTCATTTGTCAAGTATGGATACAGCGGTTTCAACGAGCTTGTTGGAGTAGATTCTAGAAGTGAAAGCTTTTGTCGGAAACACCGGAAGAGTTTCAACATACCAGTACTCATCTCAAACTTCAATTCGCTAAACATGAATCAAACAGAAACATGATTTTCAATCAATAGAAAAGAAAATCAATAAAGCAGTAGCCACATAACAGTAATGAGGAGCAACACACGATTACCATATATGGAACTTTTGAAGTAGTTAGTGGCAGGGAACAAACTTATGAAAGCAAAGTTTGATTATCGTCAATATGAAAACAAACTGGAACAACTACATTGTCACGGAATCAGCACGAAGAATTTTATAAAGCGAGTTGCTAAAGCAGTACACATGCTACAAGTTCATGCTCGGATCCAATCCAACTGACAAATGACTCTAAATAAAAGAATGACATAACTAAGCTACTGAAGATTAAGCTTAGAAATACCTTGTAAAAGAGTTCCAAGAAAGAAAAATTTTAATGCAATCATTACTACCATCACCCGGTTACTTCTTTCTTTTCAGACATGTCCTGCAATTTCAAAAGCAAAGGAGCTTGCTTTAACACAGTTTGTTATTATGTCCAAAAGATCCAGAAAATATAAAACAAAAGTTTAAATCAAAATCTCCATAAACTGCCCCCAATACGACCAAATCAACTGGGAAAATCTAGCACAACAGATTACTTCAAGATAAACATTCCATTTTGCCTCCAAATGTTGGAAACTCTAATGGTAGAAATTGAAAGCTAGCAAAACTGCTTCAAGATGATTTTTTCCTGTCAAAATTAAAGTTAAATAGATACTCCACTACAACGTGTTTTATCAGCACCAAACTAATGAAATAAACAACGAAATTCGGTCCGTTAGAGTGGGGTCCTTCAATGTTGATTCCATCTGAGCTAATGAGCTTTCAAATATTTTTCTTTTCTGCACCTTTCAAATCATATGCTACTTCTAGAGGATCCCCTTACAAGAAAGTAACAAAGCAAAAGGCAGAAACATGAATCTGGTGGTTATAAAATGAAATGATCATTCATACTAAACAACTTCGAACACATCGATCTAGTAACTATAGAATCTAATAATCATTCATTCTAACAAACACCACATGCACACAAAGGAGAAGATGATCAGTTTTATAAAATTCAAAATCAAAATGTTTCTTATTTCACAATGAAGAACTTCAGCAACATGATCGAAGCATCAAGAGTGGTATCAACCAAGTTATATCAACTGAAAAACAAACATTGCATTCTCCAATTATCATGATTACATATGATGGTAACTCAGTACAGGAGTTCACTCATGTTTATTCTTCAAGGCAAACTTTAGATAGAGTCATTTATTAACCTCAAGGCGCAGGTCATCAACAGTGTTAACAGAGAATGTTGGCACCAGATCTGCTAAATTTATTGCAGAACCCAGTAAAAGACTATGAAAGATGTGGGATTCAGCAAGAATCCAGTAAAAACTTGGAAGTATCAATGTAGACGAACCTGGAGCAAATACTCTGCAGGTCAACAATCTGTTGAGATATGAAAATAACTTGAAATTATTAATTATTAATTATGTCATATCCAATGCAAAAGGACTATGCCTCATCTATAGACTAAAAGAACAGTGTGTATAAACTTGGTAGGCTGCCTCTAGCATTTCAAGGTAGACATAAATTGATAAATAACTTAGATGTCAACATAATTAAAAACCAAAGCTGCATGCTTTTGTGACATGGGAAAAGATATCTAAGGCACAAAAAGCATAATGGTTAACAAACAAAATCATGGAGAAAAGTTGCAACCGCCACTACAGCAAACTATACAGAGCACGAGTCAACACCACTTAAAGACTAATTGACCTACAATGGGCATGCCTTCTTTCAAGTACACTACTTAACAACATAATCACAAGAATCAATTTACATCTAAAACGTAAGAACTCTCGAAGCAAGTAATGCAATATGGAAATTTCTGAAAATGTCAGGACAAGATGATTGAAAACAATGAAGCAGAAAAGTTAAGGAAATTGGAGGTAAGGATTGACGGCGGCGGGGTTGATCGTACCTGAATCGAGCAAACCGAAGAGGAAAATTTGGAAGCCTCAGGTTCAGGCTGACAGCAAGTCTATCTTTTTCGACATTTGAAGCCAATCACAACAAGGATTATGGTACATAGAGCTTTAGCGGCCTGCAAGCAAACCAAAAACTGCAAAATTATTACTTTACAAGAAACACATGAATTAAACAATGAATAGCGATTAAAATTCATATAACTCATATTTGTAGCAAACTGCCTTCATGCCTGTCCAAATTTATGTGAACTTTCATGGACTTTGTCAGTTACTAATGGCCCAATTCAACTAAAAATTAAGTTACCTGGTGACCAACATAAGCATGACCTCTTCTGATTAACTCCACTGCAAGCTCATACAGTTCTAGGATAATCACTGGTGTAGGTGATCAGCAAAGTACAAAAGTACAGTGAACAATAAGATTTAAGATTCATTAAAATTATATATAAGGTTACATCAGTTTGCATACAGACTTACCTAGAAAGGTTCCCATCCCATCTAGTTTACAATTTCTTTAATATGATTAATGTACTCCTTTTCAGCTTCTGGATTGGTATCATCAAATCTGTAAGCCAATAATGGTATCAACAGGTTTCAGCAACCAAGTTGTCTGGTCATTCCAAGATCACGATGATCTTGTAACAGCTGATAATCCTCAAGGGAGAGAGAAGGGAAAAAAAAATTTCTTATATGAATAGAAACCATATCCACATACCCCAGCAAATAAAGATAAAATCTTACAAAGTTTAATGCAAATATTAGTTGAGTAGTAATCCTAGATTAATTCAGTAATAACACAAATCTACCGCTTAGATAAAAGGTTCAGTATGTGTCTAATTCATGGAATCATAGAACCTAAAGGAACAAATCTATCTAATACCTTCTTCTGATAAAAGAAGGAAAAGAAAGAGATAAACTCATCCCTGAAACACTATATTGAGACAACGTAAGAGTGCTATTGTTTATATTCATCCAGCAAAATTAGTTGAAAATTTAAAAATAAAATAAAATATAAAGCTGGAAAACAAAGCGCGTTTCAGGTAGCATTTGTCCCCTATCTTAGCCAAGCCGAAATCAACAAACATAGCCTAAAAAAGTAGTTTAGTGGATCAAGGCATTAGTATACAGAGACTCTAATGACTAACCTGTGTCCTTCAGCCAAATTTGTTGAATGCATTAACACATGAAATATATTTCCGGTACCTTAGGGGATTGGGAACGGCTATTTGTAATCCAAATTGGATTTTGGAAGAGGGACACCTTTTCCACCACTGTTGCTGCCACCTCCCCCATATCCTTTTTCTGCCGCCATCTTCAACAGTTGTGACCGTGCTCCATCATTGGAAACCCTTGCAATTTCTGGATTCCTTTGGCGGATGGTTATCGCTGCTTGTTGGAGACAAATCCGGGAAAGAGTGAAGGTAGGAAGGGGTGGATACCAAAAACATCACGGTGGCACTGCAAGAAAGAGGAGGCCAAGGGATTTTGAATTGAATACCAAAAACAGTAAAATATCACAAAAAAAAAAAAGCAAAAGGGCAGCAACTCACTACTCAATGACGTCTTCAAGGACTATATTGACATAAACATCAAAACCTCTCAGAGTGTCAACGAGTTCCTAAGCCCCTTTCATAAGAACCCATATCTTGGAGCCTATGCACCGATCTATCAACTCTGCAGGACCAAAGAACAAAAACCCAAAAGGTAATTTTTTTAGAGATAATCAAAAACTTTTTAAAAATTTTGGAAGCAGGAAGGAACGAAAGCAGATGAACAAACATAGAAAATCGGAACCTGAAGGAAGAAGCTGCGAAGGATTGGTGGCCATTGATAGATGCTCTCTGTCTAGTTTCCTCTGATGAATTCACAAATAGTTTCCTAATAATTTATATAAGTTCAGGTAAGTCGGGAAAACAAATATCCCAAATCAACTGAGCTAACAATTAGGAGAAAAATTAGTGATAAAAATAAGTTGGGAAGAATAAAAAACAATGAAATAAAACTCATTTCTTCTCTTTGATAAGCAAACAACTCATACCTTGTCAAAGTCAGTTTTAAGAAGCCACATCATCTCTCAACTGCCTCACTATAGTACTTCTCTTGTCCTCCAAAAGCTTTAAACAGCGCTGAAGTCTTCTAATCTGCCATTTGCTGTAAAACAGAACATCAGAACTTAAACTTAACCATGATCATCAACAGTTCAGAAACTCATGAAGTGAAAATGTTTGAAAAACAATACCAATTTGATGCTTTTCTCTAGCCGAATAGAATATCAAACATGATTCTCTAGCCGAATAGAATATCAAACATGATTCTAGGTTTCCCAGCTTTAAACAATTTCATTCTATTGTTTATAATCTAATGATACTGATGATGAAGAAAAAGAAGCAAGGTGGCAGAACAAATTGTGATCATGAACCTGATTGATTGGGAGCTGGTTTTGACTGGTAACCCGTTGTCGCCAATTCCAGTGATTTCCCGAACCCGACGATTCCGGCAACCTCTGTAGCGTTTCGACATGTGCAATGATCGACAAATCCAACAGTAGAACCCTAAATTTCATCTTCTATGTAATACAGTCAACAATCCACAGAATCAAAATCAATTGAAGCCAGCAAATCATATAAGCATAGCAAATATACAGAATTTCAAGGGAAGACAGAGAAAAAAAAAGTTTAATTTTTTTAATGATCTTTCCATAGATTAGGGAAGACCTTTTAAGTTTCCTTGTACAATTTGAAGTACCTGGCCACTAAGCACTAACGTAAGCAGAAGAATTCGGAACAAAGAACATACCTTTTCCGGAGAAACGGAGTCGAAAACATAGACTTCCCCTCGAAACGACAACGTAAGTTGGTCCACCCCAGTGCAACCAGAGGGAGCCGGAACAATATAAGAGCCGGCTCAACGCCAACCCACTCAAGGCGTTGTCAATGTTGGGAGCCCCACCGCCATTCTGGAAAGCGTGGGAATTGGAGTTGGCATCGTACCGGATCTTGGAGTGAGGATTTTGCAGATGACTGTCGAGGGATTCGGCTTCCCCTGCACCGCGGGGGACATCGTCGTCGTGTTCACCGTCATCCAGGTGGGGGTGGTGGTGGCGGTGGTGGTGGGGCTAGACGGCTAGACCGGATATAGGAGGTAGTTTTATTTTGGTTTGAAGAAATTGGTGGGGAAGAAGTGGCCGGCGATGGACGGAAAAAGGAGGAGAAGGTTTGGAAGGATTGTGTTTATTTGGGGTAGCTTCTTTATATATGTTTTGGGTTGACACTTGAGATATCTGAAAATACGGACGGCCGGGAGTGGGGGGAGAAGGTTTGGATTAATTGTGTATGTGTCTATTTGGGTTGGGGGATTTTAAAAAGTAGTACACAAAACGATGACGTTTTGGGTTCGGGGATTTTAAAAACAGGTTCAAACGAGATCGTTTTGGGTTGGGGAGTTTTTAAAAATTGAATAGGAAAAAAAAATATTTTTTGGATTTACAAATTTCTCCTAAATAAGTTGCTGATGTCATGACGTCCGTCAAATTGATCTAGACCGTCGGATAGAGACCATTTGACGTCACCTAGACTGAATATTTTTCCCTAATTTCTTAAGAACTTAGACTTTTATTCAAGTACTAGGTTGTTTTTTGTCGCACGTTGCGTGATTAGTTTTTATATATATTGTAAAATTTTAAAACAATTAGTAATTTAAAAAATGGAACAAAAGAGCAATATTAAAATAATTAAGTAGCAAAGGAAAATATTTTTATAATTGAGTAGCAATATAAAAATACAACAAAGAACAATATTTTTAGCATCATTGCTTGTTATATAAAAAATTAAGATCATGCTAAGATAATTAGTTGTTGATGTTGATAAATGTCATGCCTGAGAGAGACGAGAGAAGTTAAACGGACTCATGCCTGTAAGCACATAGAAAATCTCTCCCAAGGGTTAACTGTCCTGAATAGATGGAATTTCATATCTAAGAACTCCATTTTTTTCAGTATTTCATTTTTTTTTTCTGGTCAAGCAAGGATCGTCAATTCTGTTATCTGGAAAACTGCCACCGTTTGTTTCTCCTCAATCAATAACTAAAATGAACGCACACTAACCTCCATGCCGAGAAAGGCACACTAACCTCTAACTAATTCCTGATCCAAACAAATGAGTTTCAAAACTGGTGAACAGCATATAATTGAAGCACCCAATTTGCAATTGAGAAACAAAATATATATATCTACATATATATAAGGGGGAACCCCCTTTTTGTTGCACGGTTAAAGGGGGGTTCCCGGTCAAAAATGCTGATGTGGCCAGTTGGGATTGGACCGCTTTGGTTTTTGTTTTTTCCTTGGCTGCCTTATGAAAAATTCGTATTCTGCGTTGCCGGTTGTGTTGTCTCCTCTCTTAACATTAACAAAATTTTTTGTCCCCGTTTTTTCATTTTCAGACACAACAATAGAGTATTCCACTTTCTTCCTTGTGTTTCTCGTCACCTACCCATCCAGATCCAGAAGGTCAGCGCCTTCTTAATCCTTGAAATCACCAGATCTATTCTTCAAATCATTGGATCTACTTCGGTCGGCGCATATATTTTAGTTGCTATTCATTTTTTGGTTTGTTTGTGCAGTTTTGCTGTTCGCCGGCCGGCAGAGGAGCAGAAAGAAGTTTGAGTTGGAGGCCTCGGGGAAAGAAATCCAAGGGTTCAAAGTGAGTTAATTTGAATGATTGATTTCATTCCTCTTTGATTAATGCATGTGGGTAAAATTATACGGTCAGTTAGTTTCATTTCTTCTCGATTGATGCATGTAAAGGTTTAGAGTTCTTCGGAGCTTTTTAGTTTCATTCTTTTTCTTTTTCCTGGGATTGAGTTTGGATTTCGGTCTTGTTTTTTCTGAGATTCACTGACAGAGATGATAGACAACCAGCATCTCTGTAACTTCATAAGGGACAAACAACAAGCACATAATATGTTGGTTGTCATTTTACAGAAAAGTGCATGAAAAAAGGGGAGCTCTGAGTAATAAGAACAAATGTTACAGGATTATCTCATGGGTAATTGGGGGCTGGGCTAAGTCATCATTATGGCCTGCAATCCAATTGAAAAGGGGGGTGTACACTGTATAGTTAGTGGCAGGTTGGCACATGCTGGAAATTGCATGTTAGAAATTCCAACTCATTGATTTTCTAATAATTTTGTATTAGTGAAGTTTTAAATTTCTCAAGGTGATTATAATAAGTTTATATCTTAATTGCATGTTTAATGTGTTGAAATGTTAAATACTATGTAACAAGGGCTGTTGTATTATATACTGGTGTTCTCTAATTGGTCATATGAATTTTGTATTTTTGGCATGAATAAAAGAAAGAAGTGAACAGAAAGAGTAGAGCATTTGTTGTGACGGATCATTATAATTAGAAAACTGAAGATGGTATATTTCAATAGATTCTACTGTTATCATCATAGATTATACTAAGGGTGATTATCATTATTTAACAAAAAAGGAAGTTTTGATGCATATTTTGTTTTCAAAATCAGTATGTTACTGTGCTGCTCTAACATTGAATAAAAGGAGTAGATGGAAAGATGGGTTGATCCAATATTATATTTTCCAGTTATTAGGAACCTTAAGAATTACTTTTTTTTTACATTGTATGTCAAAAATTTTTAGGTTTCTTCTCACTTTCATTTTATTAGTGATATTATTGTTGTGCATTTTCTTGTTTTGTTGTAAATTTTAAAGTCAGATGACTTATAACAAATAAGATATTTTACTGAATTTTAATTAATTTTGAGGATTTGTATTTTATTTTATCAATTGGCTTTATTGTTTAAAACTTTGTTTCAATTGAAGTTGCATATTATGTGCTTGTTGTTTGTCCCTTATGAAGTTACATGTAGATTGATCTAGGAATTCATATATATGGATTTCATTGGTTTACATGATTGCTGTTTTAAGTATTTCCATTTCCATATATTGGTAAATATTGGTAAATATTTAGCCTATTTTGCTACTTTTTGCATGTGCGTGTGAGGTTTGCTTTAGCATGATGTATATATATCTTCGAATTATATATTGTCTGTTCTTTCACTGAATAATTCAAGGCAACCATGTATTGTTTTTCAGATTCAAATTTATGGTCTTCTCTTAAGATATATTTTTCACTTATTTGCTAATATTTCGTAAAGATTTCCTACTCTGAATATGACCTTTTGTTACCAGAGCCTATTTCTTTTTTTTTTACGCATTTTTGAACAGATTTTTGAATTGTTTAAAAGCGTTATTTCATAATGGTATGTTTGAATTGAGGTCTCTATAAAATTCAGGAGTAACCCCTTCTGTTATCAGGCCTTTTTTCCCTACGCCTTCAACTTTTTTTTAAATTTACTTTTTATGAAATTGTTTTTCATTCGGTGTACTTTGATATAGTTTCTATGGGTTTTAAAACGGACTTTTAGTTTGTTTGTAAGGTCTATTTAGATATAAAATTGTCGTTGTTGAAATGCTAAAAAATCGGTTTGAATCTCATTGTTCATATGCTTGTTTTTCTCAGATGTTAAGCTGTTTTTCAGATTCTCTTTTTCCTGATTTTTTTTATGTTTACTAAAGTTTAATCTGTTTTTTACGAAACATTAAATGAACTTATGGTCTGTTTAAAAATTGTGTTTAAACTTGATGTATCAACTCTGAAACTTGATTAGCAAATCTGATTTCAAACTTTGTTTTCAGGGGTTTACCTCTCAGATTTTCTTTTTCCTAACTTTTCTATGTTTACTAAAGGAGCAATTAAGTTTTGGATGTATTAATTTTAAAACTTCATCGGCAAATTTGACTTCAAATTCTGTTTTAGGGGGTTTATTTCTTATGCGTTTTAAGTTTTTCCCTTATGCGTTTTAAGTTTTTCATTTATTGAATAATTCTTTGTTGCATGTTTCCCACAGGCTATAAAATAATTCGATGCACAGGCTGTCTAAAAATGTCTACGTCGAGAGATACATCTAGGACCAGGTATGTTTCATAATGTTGTACAACTTGCAATTTTTCTGTTTGTTGATATTTTCCTGTAAATTTGAGTTTGTCATTTAGGTTCACTGTATTACTTTTGTGTCTTTCTGCACTTAAAATCATCTTCTACCTGTTGTTCATTCTGTGTGTAGTATTATAAACCTAGGATTTCCATTTAAATAAATAAAATGACTAAAAAAAGAATACATGCTGACGTTGAACAGCGTGTACAACAAAGAAACACACGGCGTAAAACCCGTATGCATGAACAATCAGTAAACACTAACTGTAGTACATACATATATCAACAAATTGCTGACCCTCTAAAACACATAGTAACTGTTGCTGATTTACTACCTGATGCACCTGATTGTAAATTTTGTGGTGCAAAACGTTTGCATTCTGAATCACCTGGCTTTTGTTGTTCATCTGGAGAGATAAAACTTCGGGAAACAATAATGCCAATAGATTTAGTAAAGCTGTATACAGAAAAATCTGAAGAGTGTAAACATTTTCAAACTTGTGTGCGTAGTTATAATAACATGTTTGCATTTACATCATTAGGAGTTCATTATGATAAATCTTTAGCTCAAAGAAATGAGGGTGTATACACATCTCGTGTTCAGGGTCAACTTTATCATTTTATGCCTACTTTAATGCCACCTGAAAATGAAAAACCACAAAATTTACAGCTTTACTTTTATGATACGGAACATGAAATTGAAACAGACTGTCCATAAGTTCAAAAAAATTCAAAGAGAATATCATAAAAAATTTAATGGACATTCTGAAACAAAACCCTTATGCACATTTTTTCCAAACATTAAACAATGTTGATAATTTATTGGCATTTAGAATTGCTTTACAAGCTAATCCAACATTTGATAATAACACATATAATAAACCATCTGTATCTCAAGTGGCAGGAATATGGTTAGAATCCAAAGAGTCTGATCAAATCACAGATCAACATATTCAAATATATCCTAAAACTAATTTTAATGATAATAAATCTCAAATTATTCAAAGTTATTTTGGATGTTATGATCCACTACAATATCCACTTATATTTCCTGCTGGAAATCCTGGGTGGCATCGATCAATTAAAAGATTGAAGCCCTTGGGGAATTGGTGTTTCTAAAGAAACATGTAGTGGAGAAGTTATGCACAGAATTGAAAATTACAGCAATTCTGATGATTTTTTAGAAGCAGAAATAGAAGGTAACAAAAACATTTACATTTGTTTTTTTTCCTAATGCATAAAAATTAGGAACATAATGAACTCAACAATAGTTTCCTATGACGTAGGTATGAAGAAAAGAAAAAACACAAGAGATGAAGTTTCATGTCGTGAATATTACTGTTATAAACTACAAGTTAGAAATAATGATAAATCTTTTTTGCTTCATGTTGGCAGATTATTACAACAATACATTATAGATATGTATATTAAAATTGAAACATCAAGGTTACAATTTTATAAAATAGATGAAATGCAAAGCCGATTAAGAACTGATGTTTATCGTGGTCTTCTACATGGTATTTCTCAAGGTCATAACACTGGTACTGAAATTGGTAAACGAGTGATATTACCAAAATCTTTCATAGGAGGGCCTAGAGATATGCGAAAAAGATATGTAGATACTTTAGCTCTTGTTCAGCGTTATGGGAAACCAGATATTTTTCTGACCATAACAGAAATCCAAACTGGCCTGAAATAAAAGCTTTCTGTTTACAATCTGATGAATCTCAAAACAGAACAGATATAGTTACTAGAGTATTTCATGCAAAATTAGAGATGTTAAAAAAAGAATTACTTGAAAATAATATTTTCGGTGTATTTATAGCTTACACATATGTTATTGAATTTCAAAAAAGAGGTCTACCTCATGCTCATTTATTCTTAACTCAGAAACCAAAATGTTTTCTGCTGAAGCATTTGATAGAATTGTGTGTGCTGAATTACCTAATTCAGAAACCGATAAATATTTATTTGATCTTGTAAAAAAGCACATGATTCATGGTCCATGTGGTAACTTTAATAGGAATTGCCCGTGCATGAAAAATAATAAAAATTGCAAATTTAATTATCCAAAGGATTTTTCAGAAATTACAAAGTACGGACTTAACTCTTATCCAATATATCGAAGAAGGAATAATAAACAAACTGTCAAAGTTGGAGAATTCTGCCTTAACAATCAATGGGTTGTGCCTTATAATCCATATTTACTTGCTAAATTTGGTTGTCATATCAATGTTGAAATATGTTCTACCATCCAAGCTATAAAATATCTTTATAAATACATATACAAAGGACATGATAAAATATTGTGTAAAGTAATTGAAGAGGATGGGCAACTTGTAATTGATGAGATTAAAAATTTCCTCAATGGCAGATGGATTTCAGCCCCTGAGGCAGTTTGGCGTATTTTTAAATTTGAGCTTAATAAGATACACCCTGCTGTTATACCTTTACCTATTCATTTAGAGAATGAACAACTTATTACTTTTCCTGAAAATCAAAAACTAAGTAGTATTATCAGAAATCCATTGCTAAAAAAAACCATGCTTACATAATTTTTTCACATGAATGAAACTAACAAATATGCACAAGAAAAAAATTGTTTGTGCGTTGAATTTCCAGAATATTTTACTTGGTATAGTACCTCTAGGGAATGGTCACCACGTAAAAAACAACAAGTCATTGGACGTATTCTTATATGTCACCCATCTCAGGGAGAAAGATTTTATTTAAGGCTGTTATTAATGCACATTAGAGCACCAACATCTTTCAAACAATTAAAAACAGTAAAAGGCATAACATTTGATACATATAAACATGCTGCACAAGCTTTAGGTTTAATGCAACATGATAGTTGATGCTTGCCGAGTTCACCAAAAAAAAAATAAATATTACTAGCTTGGATTAAGAGTTTTGTAGATAATGGAAGCTAGGTCGATCCCACGAGGACAGCTAATTACCAAATTTGTTGTAAAGAAAAACTGTCAGTCAACAAGGTGTCACTCAGGAGAATGGAAACAGTCACTCAGGGGAATGGAGGCCAGGGGTGTTCTTCTCCTCTTCCTGCTGTTGTAGTTGTTTTATTAGCACAGTAAAGGTTGAGTTCTTGTTCATTCAGCTCACTTATAACTCTAAGTCAGTTCCCATTTTTCCTAGAGTCATCTTTGCACCCTTAACAACCTATTTTCCAATGATTGATTCCAGCTACAAAGTCATTAAGTTCTTAGGCCTTCAAGAATGCTTATGTTAACTAAGTATATTCCTATCTTAGTTAAAACCATAGACTGTTACCTCTATGTCATAAGTTAAAGTAGAAACAATCCAAACCAAGTTTATCCTTCCAGATCTCCCTTAGTTCTAGCATGCATTCAATTTAGTGATCAAGTAAATGAATGTAGAAAAACTTTCAACCATAAAACAAGGAACAAAACCAGTGCTTGACAACTACAACATCAGTTGAGGAGAATAACCCCTGGGAACTATTTAGCTACTCATACAGATTAATGCTACATCTACTACATCGAAAGACATCATAGAAGTATGCATAGTAAACAAAATTCAAGCTAACAGTCAAGAGATGAGGAGAAAGCTTGTGCAGTTTCTGACTCACTCCTGGGAGTGAAGGGGTTCACTCGTGGAACTGAAGAAGAAACTGGGTTGCTATTCTTCAACTTCGCTTCCTCACTGAGTTGTTGCTGCTTCTTCTTCTTTCTTGTCTTCTACCTGGAGTTTTTCTGAGTGTTTTTTTTTTAACTAAGAAGCTAACCAGAGACTGAGATCTCCCTCCATTGAGAGTGCAGTTCCCTCTCTTATAGGGCCTTGCAGCCGGTGTCTTCATCATGAGAACCTCCCCATGCTTGGAGTTGTTTAATCCTCCCAATGTCTTGAGCTTGCAATCCAACTTGGCCGTTTCTTTTCTCTCTTCCAGCAGCAGCCGTTTTGCTCTCATTGATCAGCAGTGGTGGCTGGGATTGCGGCTGGGGGACAAGCATGCCTCTAGGAGGAGGCAAGGTCATTAATGACAAGATACTTCTTGTCTAAGGGCCTTCTTCTTCGTCCAGCTCAGCACCCTTGCCTCAGTAGTCCTTAAATTGCTCCTTTGGCTTCCAATTTTCAGCAATTATTCAGTCCGGTCCTAACAATAACATGAAAATGAGCTAAGTAAATTGCACCAATGTTAGGAAATACCCCCAATTGTTCATCAAATACAAAGTTAAGTGTGATGCTTTTATGTAACAATTTAACCATTATCAATAGTACTGCTGATTTTTGTCTCCAAGAAGGTACTACTTATTTAATGCCATTTGCTTTGAGACAATTATTTTCTACCCTTCTATATTACTGCAATCCTTGTAATCCAGAAAAACTATTATTAAAATATGAAGACTTTTTAGGAGAAGACTTTAGGCAAGATAAAAATCTAACTGTTGATAATATTCGTTGTAAAATATTAGACACTATAGCTTATCATCTTTAAGTCAATGGGAAAAAATCTTGAAGATTACTTTTCTCCAAGCAAAGAATTTAGCATAAATCTTGAAAACAGTTTGACAAGAGAACTTCAAACTGAACAAAATATTATCATACCACCAGAAGATCTCTTAGCTATTAAACAGTTAAATAAAGAACAACAACTTGCATACAACCTTATCATGTACTGTGTAAAAAAAAACATCCCAAAAGTGTTTTTCCTTGATGGTCCCAGTGGTACTGGAAAAACATTTTTACATCGGGCACTTCTTGCTACTATAAGATCTGAAAAACATATTGTCCTTGCCTCTGCTACATCAGGTGCAGCAGCATCCCTACTTCCTGGGGTCGCACCTCACATTCAAGGTTCAAAATTCCAATAGATGGGCATAATTCCACATCACGTAATGTTCAAAAACAAAGTACTCTAGCTTACTTACTACGAATAGCAAAACTAATTATATGGGATGAAGCCACAATGGCAAATCGTACTGTAATTGAAAAATTTGACCTTATGCTTAGAGATATTATGAACTCAACTGTATTTTTTGGAGGTAAAATTGTAATATTTGGTGGCGATTTCCGTCAGACATTACATGTTATCATAAAAGGAACAGAAAATGATGTCATCAATGCTTCAATTGTCATGTCACCTTTGTGGAATCACTTTGAAAAGCTTAGATTACAGGAAAATATGAGAGCACGTTTTGATCCTTATTTTTCATCTTATCTATTAAGAATAGGAAATGATACTGAACAGACAAATAATAGAGGTGAAATTAAATTACCAGCAGAGGTAAATATTCCTTTTACTGATGAAACTACCTCATTATACATACTAATCCATACAGGATTTCCAGTATTGATACTTCTGATTTTGACATTACTCCTTTCGTAAATCGAAGTATACTTACAACCAGAAATGAATTTGCTCATGAAATTAATAATAGTATAATTGAAAAATTCTCTGGTAATGAAATAATTTATCTTAGTTGTGACGAAAGTACAAGTGCATGTTCAATTCCTGATCAAGAAGAACTTTTCCATTCTTTGACACCTCAAGGATTACCACCACACAAATTGACTTTAAAAAAAAATGCCCCTATCATATTGCTTAGAAACATTAACCCAACTGAAGGTTTATGTAATGGAACACGTCTTCTTTGCACTGATTTTACCAATAATATTATATGTGCTAAAATTTCAGTTGGTACATATAGTGGAAAAACAGTTTTTATTCCTAGAATCACAATAAATGCTCCATTGGACAACTTCTCTTCTATTCCATTTAAAAGAAAACAATTTTCTGTACGCTTATGTTTTGCAATGACAATTAATAAAGCACAAGGCCAAACATTAGATTTTGTAGGAGTATACTTGAAAGAACTAGTATTTTCTCATGGTCAACTATATGTTGCACTGTCAAGGGCCAAAACTATGCAACAAATTAGAGTATTGATAAGACCTATAACACCACTTTTATCAGGCACTGATTATACTAAAAACATTGTATACCGCAAAATTTTAACAGCAGCAAATGCAGATTAAAAAAAAATGTATATATATATATATATGTAGACATTACTGTAACAGCAGTTCCTCCTATGGAACAGTATGTATTTTTGCTATTTTCTATTTTTTTACTCTGATGTACATATGTAATTTATACTTTTATTCTCTATAAATTTTAGCAATACAGCAACAAATGCAGATTAAAAAAAATGTATATATATATATATATATATCTCTATCTAGACATTACTGTAACAGCACTTCCTCCTATTGAACAGTATGTATTTTTGTTGTTTTCTGTTTTTTTACTCCGATGTACATATGTAATTTATGTTTTTATTCTTTATAGATTTTAGTAGTGTACTGCACAATTATAATCTGCATTTTCACTCTTTGTAGACAAGCCGAAGAAAAATGCATACCAATTGTCAGCCTTGAACCTCAGCTACGCGAATGGTGTATTAGAGTGTTAGTTGCTGAAAAAACTCCCGTACGAACGCTTCAATCTGGGAAGACACAGCTGAAGCTTGTATTCATCGATAACGAGGTATAATCCATTGTACAATTATTTCTTACCAGTGATAAAAACCGATGATTTCTCCTAAATTCCATTACTATATTAATTGTCAAATCCTTATCTTTCACTTATCTAACTGAAATGGTTCTTTTGCAGCACACTAAAATACAATGCATAGTTTTCCACCCAGATGCCCCAGATTTAAACGAAGTTTTGAAATTATATAAAACCTATTATATCGGCAATGGGAAAATCATACCACTGAATAGAAATTTTCCCATCATGGTGGATTACAAGTACCAAATGATCCTCAACAGAAGTGCATACATCAAGGCAACTGAAAAAGAAGAAGAGCTTCCATTAGACAATATTTATCAGTTGACTCCATTTGCACAGTTTCCGGATTTCATGGGCTCATCAGAAGACAGAGTTGGTAAATCTTTCTTCTTTTGCATTATAAACACTTCAGTAATATGCAATTTCAAACAGTTTATATATATCTTTATTTACTCATAATATTTCTCTTTCTTAGATGTATTATGCAGTGTCATACATTTTCATCCAGTGCATTTTGTTGCAACAAAAGGGAAAAATGTACAGGAATTCGTCATTGTAAATCAAGAGTATGTACCGTGCTGGAAATAACATACTTTCTACTGTTTTTTATTCACTTATCTTTAGAGTGCATAATTATTAACACATTGCTTCAAACTTACAGACGCTGCCCAATGCTTCTCAGTCTCTGGGAAGAATCTTTGCATGAAGAAGGACAACGATTGGTTAACAACATTCACAAAAATCCGGTCATACTCGCTACAAGACTAGCTGTAACCTCTTTTCATGGTAAGACTAGACAATTTTTTCCATCTTTTTCTACCCTCTATTTACATGTATTGACAAATTTGAACCGCAGGTATCTCTGTTAATGCACAGCCAAATAGCGTACTTCTGTTTGACGCACCAATTGCTGAAGCTCGAGAATTAGAATCATGGTAAGTGTAATTAAAATTTGTAAATTGATTTAGAACCTCAGTTTTTAATGAGTGTGAGTTTAACAAACAACTTTTGTTTATTTAAATTTCATATTTTCTCTTTACTATATAGTTTTCATGTTGTTGTTTGCTATCTTTTGATCTATTATCAATTGAATTTGAGGAAAAGAAAAAAACCACAAAAGTAAAGAAACAGAGAAAATGAATGAGAAAAAAACAAAAATTGATCCTGATTGTCCACCCATCAACCCATAAATTCTGTGCAAGTGTTCTATGAAAGTTGTGACTTTCTGCTATGATATTTCATGATTACTCAGGGTCATACAATTTAGTTTCATCCTTGCAATTGCTCCACCATTTGGTCTGTTGTTCATCATAGTATTCTTTCATTCAGAAGAATGAAATTTCAATTTGATTTCCAAGAGCTTGTTTGGTAGTACTTGTTTGGGTTATTACACAACTGCTTCATTTTCATCAGATTTTGCATTAAATTTGCATCCAGTAGTTGAAAGTATGGTTAAGTGACATAACCATTTACTTTAGTTGAAGATTATGATTTGGAAGCCCATGAAATGATATATTAAGAAAAACCAGAAACTCATCTTTTTATCTTACGTAGCTAAATAGTTGATATTCCGATGAATTGAATCAAAGCTTCATAGCCATTTTTGCCAAATTTTCTCCATGAGATATAATATTAGTTGAACTTGAATGAGCAGAGTTGATTATGAAAAAATAGATAGATTTTAAGATTGAGGCGTCATTTGAAAGTGTCTGGGTTGCCAGTTGTATTTTCTGGAATCATCAGAACTAGTATGCTTTGTATGTGTGTTTGTGTATTCGAGTTCACTTGTGTGTTTTGTGTGTTTTGCTCTCGGTGGATGAGATTTTGGCTTGTCGACTAATACGAGAAGAACACATGGGGTTTTAAATCTGTTTTTTTTTTTTTGGAAAAAGAAATTGAAGAGTTTGAAGCAAGCCGATGTGATGATTGAATGAATTTTAATTGCAGTAATTGTTAACATCAAATTTTAGGGTCTCTGTTTTGGGGCATTGCTTTTTGGGAATTTAAGGTAAAACTTTTCTTACTGTGATGTTATATCAAGTTATTCTTGATATACCGTCTGAATTTGACAAGAATGCATGCAATAATACCGTGGGTTGGCCACTTTTGTTGTTGTTGTGATTTTTTGGACAAGTTTTATTTGTCCATTCTGGAGGAAGAAACTTGATGACCACTTATAGAGCTTCATCACTAATTTGATGTTAAAGATTGTTGTGAATGGTTCATATGGCATCACTAGCTATTGATGTATGTCTATAATTGTAAATGTCTTGCTTAAAATGAATGAATTTCTTAAGTTTTTGCCACTAAAAAAAGTAGTTTGGTTGAACTTTTTTAAAATCATTTGTTGAAGTGGGTTTGCTCTGATCCTCAACTATAATATTAGTTGGGTTTGCTCTGATCATCTGTTGAAGTGTGTAAATCATCTATAATATGTGTAAATTACTACCTTTTGACTCAATCCTCAGATGTGGCTCTTGGTCTGTAAACATCCCTATATCGAAATTGAACCTACTAATATTTAATTATTTCAGTGCTGTACTAAAATACAGAAAAATCATGATGTATTAAAGTGCAGAAAAATCACTTTATATCTCTCTGTTCATATGCTTGTTTTTCTTCGGTGTTCAGCTCTTTTTCACATTTCTTTCTTCCTAACTCTTCGATGTTTACTAAAGTTTGATGTGATTTCTACATAACATTAAATGAACTTATAATCTGAAATTATTCTTCTATGTTTCCTTTCTATGTTTTCTTGCATTTTTTTATAATTGATTGTGACTGAAATTACTCTCATTATAGGATCAACATGAACAGTGAATACATAGAGGCGGTTATCTCCCAAAAGCTATATGAAAAAGTGCATGAAACAATAACGGCACCAAGCGACTCTCATGTTCGAAAAATTGGCCAAGTGATAAGTTCCAGTAACCCGGTATTTCGCAATGTGCACTTGTCCTATGATTTTGTTTTAATTTTTGCTCACTCACACGTATCATTACATGCAGCCAAGATCATTTTGGATAAAAGCGAAGCCAAAAATTGTCGACAGGGATCAACGCATGTACATCCTCACTTGTCCAAATTGCTTCAGAACATGTGGGGCATCTTACCAGAAAAAATTCCCTTGTTTATACTGTAAAACAGAGCAACCATGTCCAAAACCTGCGTAAGTAACTTCTATCACCAGACTTGTTTGGCAAAGCAAAATTTACATATATTATCCAACTAACCACTGTCATTTACAGGCTACAATTTCAAATACAACTCTCTGATAAAACTGGCACTCTCAAGGCTTCCATAGAAGGAAATGAGGCCGAGAAACTCCTCACCATATCAGCTGATCAATTGGCCAAATACAACCAGGTATTCTCTCTCTTAAAATTTAATAAACATTACTATTTAACATATATTATATATAAAAATAACAAATTAAAACAACTAGCTAACTTTCTTTTTCACTTTCGCAAAACAAACATCTAGACATTGACAAAATCAACAACCTTGAAAATTCAGACCGAATGTTCCACCTGCGATCAACCATCAAGATTCAACAAGAAACACCATCAAGATACACTGTCACCACGTATCTTCCCTCATCTACATCATCCTCAACAGCAGTAGAATCCAGTGACAAAGAAACTTCTTCAAACTCCCCGAAAACACCAACCACAGACGTTGAAATGACTGACGAAGAAACCAGTGCATCCAACCAGCCAGAAATACAAACTCTACCTGTGAAAAGAAGTCTTTCATCAGCAGCAAAACAAACGCACAAATCCACAAAACATGCAAAACAAGATTAAAAGGTAATGAAATCTATCCTTTAGCATATAACAGGAACACACTCTAGCTGCATCTTTAAAAAAACAACAATAGAGCAACACTGAGTCTCTATTTTTTGGTAAACATAGGCTAGCATAGAGATACCTAGAGCCCATGTTTGCGTAAATATGTATTTTGTGTAAATAGTTAATAGTGTTCCTGTTTCAAATATGTTAATTTTTGTGTTAAATTCTGTGTAAATATGTTAAGTTTTATACAAAATATGCTAGATTTTGGGTTTGGTTATATGCTAAAAGTATAACTGTATTACAATAGTTGATGACTGATTGTTAAGTGTTTTTTTGACTTGGTTTTGATGACCTGGTTTTGATTGTATTCCGTTGCATATTAAGACTATTTGTCTTAAATTGAAATTAGAAATCTCTATGAATCTTATGCTTTGTTGTCACCTATTATTCATTGTTCTTAGCGACTGTATTTGAATATTAATCCATGACTTATTTGTATTGTAGAAGTGCAAAAACGTAAAGTTAAACCCTATTTTTGAACATTTACCATTGATTTATTTGTGTTGTGAAAGTGCAAAGATGTATAGTAAAACCAAGGAAAATACATGAAAATTTAGAGTTGACTTGCAAAAAAATCAGGTTCGATGTGTTTTGTTGTGAAACATTTGTCTGTTACCTAGCTAATCATTTTCAAAGACTTCTTTTTATGAATATCACCTTCGTTTAGTGTGGTTCGTCGCTGTTTTTACAGATTTCACAATGAAGTTGTAGATTTTCCAAAAACTTGATTTGGACAGGATATATCTAAATTAATTACGCCTATCCTTTCAGTTGTTTTCTCAGGTTTATTTGCATAAATTTCTTCTATATTTGATGAGGTTTATTTCAGTTTCAAGCTCATAAAAAAGAGTTATAGTTTCTGTAAAATTTGAGTTTAAATATTAGCAATTGAAGTTTTCTGAAAATTTGGTCTCCCATAACTTTTGTATGTGGTCTCTCATTATTTGAATCCAAGTTCCTTTTTTGAGGCCAATTTTGGTTTATGTTTTGCACCTAAATTTTGCTCATAATGAAGGCTAAACCGTTGTTACAAACAGAACCAAATTCTGGCACAATGGCTCTTCAAAATGAATGAACACAAAAAATCACTACAGGGAGCCATGAAAAATTCCAAATAGGCCTTCTTTCTACAGTAATGCAGAGATTCCAATCACCACCATGTGTACAAAAACCAAAAATTCCTTTTTGATGTAGATTGTAGGTAATTGTATCTTTGATGTAATGTCTCTGTACTTTGCCTGAGTTTTTCCCCCCTTTTGGAATCTTCGATGGTTTTTCCTTTACGGAGTTGGTGAAATTATATTGTATCTGCTTGATTGATTAATGTCTCGTTTTTACTGCGAGTTTCGGACTGAAAAAACTGAGAGTGATGTTAGTGATTTAGTCACTTTATGCGTCACTTTTTCCTGATAAGATGTTAGCTGAAAATTGGAACAAAAACTCTGTAGCCTCACTCAGGTGATTGATATGGAGCAATACTTTTGATCTTCCTTACTTTTGGATAATTCAACAGTTTCATGTACTGGGTTAGCATCGCTGTTTCTACGGATTTGAAAACACAGTTGTCGATTGTCCAAAAACTTGATTTAAACAAGACATATCTAAACTGAAAATTTGAAAATTCAGATTTCAGACTTTCTGTTTAAGAGTTAATTACTTCTGTCTTTTCAGTTGTTTTCTCAGGTTTATTTGCATAAATTTCCTCTATATTTGATGAGGTTTATTTGGTACATTTTCATTGTTAGAATTGTATACATTCCGTGGTTAATTAACAGTAAGGTTTATTCATTAACTTCATGTTGCTTGTTCATTTTATTTGACCATGCTGTATATATTATTATAGCCTATATGTTCATACTGTATATGCTGTATATGTTATTTGACCATGCTATATATGTTATTTGACTGGTGAGTATATGTTATTATAGCCTGAAAAGATTCCAACAGATTAAAAATACTATTGTTGTTGTTTGTTTGTCCTTGCAAATTGCTGTTACGGCCATTGTTTTGTTGAATTAGCTTCGGATATTTTACAATTGAAAATCAAAGTCATTTCTTCTTTGCGGGTGGTTAGATTAAATAAGGAAAACTTAGTAAATGGTTTGTCTAATAAAGTTCATTTTACTAACTCTTTCGTTGCTTTTCAATTTCAGAACATTTTCAACAACATTTTGTTTATAGAACACATAAAGTTTACAAATATACGTAGTTTCTTGTTAAACTTCAAATCTCTACAATGTATGCCTGTCTTCGTGTGATTTTCTCCCTAAAAACTAACACAAGAATCCAAGAGATTTAAACTGAGATTCTTGGGGAAACAAATTGAAGCTTTAAACTAATTCTATGTGATGGCTAAATGAATCTATTGTATGTCTGCTGTTTTCTATTGTATGAATCTATTGTTGGTGATATTGTTGGTGTGATTTTCATTCCTTTTCTCATTGTTGGTCAAACTTTCTTAAATTTATTGTTCTTTTTGTCTT